ACCTTTTTTTTTCTTTCTTTCTTTTTTTTTTTTTTTTTGTTCAATTTACTTGTCGTTTATTCCGACCGTCCGATTTGGGAGCGCTTCGCTTAGTTTTTGTTGTAAGAACAGATTAATTAGTACTTGTCGTTGTTACGTTGAGCATTGTCTATTAATATATACGCGTACAAGAACACGTGAGCATTACAAGGCGCTTAACAAGAATAAAATAAAACAATAAAAGCTTCGCACGTTTATGTGGGCCGTCGTACGTCAGGTACATTTGCCAACCCCCTCGCAAAACTGTTTGCCTTACACTCGTGCAAAGGTATACTACACCTCACGATTCTTGCATGCTTCGAAGTAAAGTGATGAACTTGTTTTAGACGCTTTTCTTTAACCGCGTTTGCTTTCACACGATGCATTTTGTGTACAAAATTTTGAATCGAAACCGAACACACTGACGCGGAACACCGTACGTTGCACGATCAATCTCTATATTTTGACCAAGCTGTTAAGTGTGCCTTTTTTCAGCTTTTTCTTCTTTTTTTCTTTTTTCTTTTTCTTTTTCTCTAGGACGAATGTCGTTGCATCGAAACATATCCACTTGATATAATCTCTTTTCTTTTTTTTTACGTAGGGTTTAACATCCCTCCAATAGCGAACAAACAATCTCTATGTTCACATTAGTTCCAAACTGTGATTTAGGTTCATTAAAATAAGTAGTGTATCGATCCAGTGCTTGACCGGTAAACGAAGAAAGCTCGTTGAACCGAGCGTTACATTTTTAGTTATTTCTGTACGAAATGCAAACCGTTTACCGGACAAATGCACAACAGTCGAGTAGAGAATACGTAGGATTATTATTGATTAGATGTAAAAAAAAAAAGAGTCGTGATAAAATATCATGAAAAGGGGGAAGGATTATCTCGGAGATTCAACCTTTTCCTCTTTTCCAGACGAGTTGGGCATCAACAAGGACAGATACAAATCGCTCGCCGACGAGATGGACTCCACGTTCGCCGAACTGGCAGGATACTAAGTTATTTCGTCCTCTTGTGCTTCCTATTATAATTGCGATGTCATGCGTGGGGATGGAGTTGCAATGTTACGCGTAAAAGGGACTCCAGGACACGACCAACCGTTGCACGATCAGCGCAAAAAAAAAAATAAAATAAAAAAAAGAATACAAAAAAAAAAATACAAAAACGCACGAGCTGAAGAAACGATCGTTGGGAATCGGATGATATCGTTTGTCTAGTCGTACGACGATCACTGCGGCGAAGATGGTCAATGTATGGAGATCCGTAAGGAATTTCACTCTGTTACACTGTTGTACGAAATATTACACAAGACCCAATAAACTGCTGTAATGTGGTATCTCGTTACTAATTACAAGGACTTTTGATAGATTTCCACCTGGAAAACCCTTTAGCAGTATTTCTCTATTTCTCCACTGCATTTCCATGTGGAAAGTTCTGTTAAAGGTAATCATCATCGCCATTTTCTAGTGGAGTATAAAAGAAAAGGTGAGTATAAACGGATTCAACGTACATCGTATCAGACACGTACGTCGAAATGGAGAAAGGAAGTGGAAATGGATGAGCGTCATTTTTCGGTGTTACTTTTGGAAAGTATAGTAACTAGTCTTTTGATAGAGGCACAGTTACATGAGATGTTTATTAGTCATCAAGGTACTTATTAAATGTACATTGAATGTATAAATGTACACCGAATGGCATATCAATTCAGAAGTGCTGTCTTGTACTATATTCTCGAAAGTCACGATTAATTATGTACGAGTTCGCTTATCTAGTATTTACAATTGATAATTCGTAATTAGTAGATTACGGATTTTTACGCATTTGTGGAAAATTTAGATACACGAAAATGCACAGAATGCACGTGTTACACGAAAATATATACGAAATGTTCAAAATACAATTCTTGATAAAATATTTCATATATAAAACGGATCTCTTTCTATATTATGTATATTTCTGAGGCTATTTTCACAGAAATGTGTATTTGCATGAAAATCCGCCGTCTAACAATTACGTACTTAGAGAGATGCCATTTTGTGTATTTGTGCATAATCTTTATATACAACATTAGTCTATCTCAATAGCCCGCGAATATATCGGGGCCACTTCATTTTAAATATACGCGGCGTCTTATTAGACACGTACAATATCAGTGACGAAAATCGTAACACTTCAGATAAAACTCAAGCATGCAACAAAGATATATAATCTCGCCTGTGTATAACATGAATAACAAAAACCAAAAAATATGGGAGCACAAGGCGCAGAAAAGTTGTATAAAATATAAAGTATCATGAGATGTTCACTTTTAGAGTAGGCCACTCGAATGTTCTTTTTGAAAAATATCACCGGATTAAAATAATATATCTTCCACGAAAAATGATGTTTAAACTCGTAAAATTCGATCAACAGAATGCTTTTATAAAAATTTATGGAAATAATCGATTAAAATTATGCAATATAACAACCATGTAAGCTAATTTAACAGGGTACTATCTTGCAATTTCTAAAAGACGTCCTTGCTGCAAAAAGAATTTCTTTCATTCGTAGCATACCATTCGGCGAGTACAATTCGAACAAATAATGGTATACTTTCAGAAGTATAAAAAGCGTATTTAAAAATTACAAGTTAAAACCAATAGGGGGAAAAAATTGATCTTGAGTCTTATTCGTCGCGATTCTCTCTTTTGTAGCATTAAAAACTTAATGTTACTGAAGTTTTGGCAACGCAATTCGCCCGAATGTCGGAAAAACGAGCACGGAAATTCATGTTTCAAATATGCATGCGTATGGCGTATGTCAAATTATCATGCATTGAGATTCCTAGTTTCTCGTTTAATCGACATTCAAGACATTTCTTCCTCTGATACAATAAATAATGTACTGCAAAAACTATAAAACCTACCATGGTATTTATATCTAATATACAATTTTGATCATCTATAATTAACGTTATCAAAAAACATTAGACTATTTGGTGTATCGATTGCACGCAATATCATGACGGCTCTGTGTGTGTGTGTGTGTGTGCGCGCGAGCGAGCGAGCGAGCGAGCGAGCGCGCGCGCGCGCGTGTGTGTGTGTGGGATGACATTTTACAATGGCGAAACGAACAAGAGTATAATAAAGAAAGTTCCCTTGATGCCTTGATGACACATTCACACAATACGAACCAGATATACATATACGTATTTATATAATTTGCACGGTAGAAGTCTTAAGTAATATGAAAAGATGTGAGACAGGTACATACATACTCTCTTCGTGAAACGAAATATCGATTTCCATTCGAATTAAATACAACTGCAATGCATCGTGAGACAAACACATGGATAAAACATTGACGCCCTGTGAAAAAAAAGGTCTGGTAGCTAAGTTAACAATCAATATGAATTCGTTTCCTTTCAACGTGATTCATTTCGATGTTATTTTTATGTATATCTAGCCCAATTTAATAATACTCTACAAAATACTTCGAACGAGCGAATAAAAAAGAAAAAGATTGCATCGAATGCACTATCACTGCGTGCCAAATATTTCCGAGACTATGAAGACTTGTCGAAACAAATCTGTATATTTCACACAATAATAATATCAATAATGATAATTATACATTAAAAAATAATAATAATGCTCATGATAATAATAAAGAAATAGGTCAACAATCATTAATGTAAAATATAAATTATCAAATCATTCCTTTCTATAGTTCTTAGATTATCGCGTATGAAAATATTAACAAAATACAATAGATAGTTTCCGATTCAAACAGATGAACTATGCCATGCGAAATATCAAGAATATATCTATATTACAATGTGATGCACAAAATCTTCAAACGATCCCAATAAACCATGAACATAATTTTTTTTAATTTTCCATAGAAATTAAGTATATATTTTTAATGAATTTATGTAACATATATACATATATGAGTATATATCGTGTCTACATAACGCGAATAAATGCACTGTAGACGATACCATATTTCAGAATTCCCCACAGAAATAGTAAATGTCACAATACGACACGACAATACAATATACAATTGCCAAACTGTGCTATACATATCATACATTACCTACATATAAAACAATGTAAAAATAACAAGTGTTGGAAATATGTAAAAGTGTAAGAAAATAAGCTGATCTCGTGAATGATAATGACAAAGAATCAAGTTGCAAGCCATATCATATATCATGATTCGAATTCGTTAGAGAATTTTTGTATTTTCCATATGTAATTTATGCACGTCTTTGTGTATAATGCAATCGAAAATATACACTCGGTAACTGAAGATGAAAATATATAAAATTTGAGTTCTACCATTCTGATAAAAGCTGGCCCCTCTCCTTTTTATGGAAAAGATTAATATATCTATAAAATTCTCCGGGGGTCTTCTATATTATGTTGCTTTTACATTTGTATATATTAATATGAAAAAATCTTTCTTAGAAGGTAAAATAATGACCTAATACATATGTAATAACACATAATAAAGAAAGAATGTCATGATTTAAGCTACAGACGGTCACGATGCAAAGAACTGTTGGAGTCGCTGTACCGTTCTACGATCTAGAGCACACAAATCGAAGTCAAATGTCTTTTTTGTGATCTCGTATTGACCGGTTTCTGCGATTACCTGAACAACTCTCTGCAATTCCTGATTATCTTGTAAAGTCATTATCTTCTGTTGTAGATCTTTCAATTGTGAAACGTAATCTTCTGAAAACACTGGGGGTTCTACCATATCTGACTCAGCCAAAGTACTATTCGTCGAATCAGGTGCCACTTGTTCTGCTTCTGACTCGTTACGTTTTACGACGGCTTGTTCAGCACGATCTTCTTTGTCCTTATGAACTGTTTCTTGGTCCACCACCACCGGTGACTGACTCGAAGAAACTGGTTCTAAGGGAGATGACGACGAATGACCTCTGTCCTTTTTAGCCACAGGCTCATCATCGCCTTTGCTATCACTTCGTCGTTTTCTCTTTCGGATTTCTTTCTCGTCCCCCTTTCCTTTTGGTTTCTCTCTTTTGTTCCGGTCTATCTTTTCCTTCTTAATATCCATAGATGTCGCGGGTGAAACTGGCTTCGCCATTTCTCTCGGCGATGTGGATGCCGTTAAATTCTCTACATCTTTCTTAACGATAGGCACTAATTTTGTATCAGAGAAGGAATCGTCATCTATGGATGGCGCTGAATCACTACTATCCCTTTCCGGCATTTCCGCCAACAGTGTCGAAAGAGGATTAGCTACTGAAACATTAGGCACATTATTTTGCTTCTCTGTTGAAGATTTGACTCTGTCGCGTCTCTCTTTCTTGTCTCTATCTTTGCTGGAATCCCGCTTATCCTTCCTATCCTTTTTTTTATGCTTGTGTTTTTGTCTGTCTTTCTCGCTTTTACTGTCCTTCGTTTTCTCAGACTTGTCAGTCTTTTCCGACTTTTCCATCTTACCCAGTTTGTCATCCTTTGATTTCTCACTCTCTTTCGAAAGTTTCGGCGACTTACGTCCGTCTTTCGCCGATTTGTATTCCTGACTTTTCTCTTTCTCTGATTTCTCCGACTTTTCTGATTTATTATTTTTCTTTTCGGGTAGTTTTACAGCTTCCTTCGAACCAGATCGTTCTCCCTCTTTATATTTTTCTTTTCGATCTTTATCCCGATCATCTTTATATCCTTTCTTATCCTTTCTCTTGTCGTTCTTAGAATCGATGATTTTAGAGTTATCTTTTACTTTTTCTTTGTCTTTTTCTTTATTCTTATCCTTTTCCTTTTCGACGACTATCTTCTTCGATTCCTTTTCTTTTGATTTTGGAGAAGCAGGTCTCTTTACAGGAGGAAGCAAAGGACTACGTCTTTTTATTAGAACAGTTGGAGATGAGGGCTTTTTATTAGAGGGAGTGGAATGACTCCTGTTTGCAGGACTAGAAGGCCTCTTCGGTTTCTCTTTAATTCGATTTTTATCCTGAGGCTGATCTTTGATTTTTTTATCCTTTTTGTCATCTATTTTCTCCTTTTTAATATCCTTATGGGGATTATCCTTAAGTTTTGTTTTGTCCCCTTTATCGGACTTCTCTGAGGTAAATAACGATTTAGAAACAGACGATTTTTCCTGAACTGTACTCTTTCTAGTGTCTTGAGAAACTTTCGTAGGTTTTAGCGGTGTTCCAAATAACTCAGCAAAGGAATTCGACGTTTTCAACTCTATATTTTTGTGCTTTCTTGATTCATTACCACTCATCTTTGGTTTACCAACCATCGTTAAGGCCTTGGGCTCACTCTTTTCAATCAAATTTTCTGAACTGGACACGAGAACCTAATCATATAACATCCATTATAATTTATCCAGCAATTTAAAAACCATATAATTTATCCAGCATTTTAAGTAGAAATAGACTTAAATATACTTACACCACCACCCTTCAATAATTTCCTCCTAAATTCATCTGAAGGGTTGTTAATTATTTCAGTATGCCTTATTACATTTGTAATTGCTGGACCACTAGATTGTAAGTTAAGATCATATAAAATTTCTATCTTTTTGCTACCTTCATCCTTATTTTTTAAATAAATGTGAATTGGAATCTCAAAACCAGCATAACCTGATTCTTTTATCACAAATGGTGGATCTTTCAAGATCCTCCTTGGTCTAGAGAATGTTTGATGCAATTGAAAAACCACTGAAATATAAACTAAAGTATGTTAGAAAGTGTTTCCAATATATTTTAGGAACGTATGACATTTCCACAGAAATAAATTTACCTTTCTCAACATAGTGGTGGATTTCAGCATTGTCAATACCTCGTACAAATACTTCCCAATCATGAGTATAACCCTGAGGAGTAGTACGCATACGTACAACTGACGAGTGCCCACATTCTAATGTAATGCGAATTGCCATTCTCTCACATGAAATTTTTAATACCCACTTTAACAAAGAAAAATGGAGAGAGCTAATTATGCAGCAATTACATTACACTTTTATTTATTTTGCTACACGTGAATGAAAACTCTGACAAATCTATAACTATCAGATAGTTTATAAACTACTTGCGACGAAATAAACCATTATCCAGGAATTTATGTCAGATGCACAAATAATGACAATAGTTATTTCCTAATCTTTATTCTCTTGAGGTTCTGGCACATTGTTTGGTTACATTTGTTTTGTATGAAAATGTTCGTCACCTCATTAGAATAGAATATTGAATTGAACGAGAAATTTTCTGGAAACAGTCCGCACCGTTGTAACTCTGATAATTCAGCAATTTCGTTTAAGCGAATTTCTATTATCAACAGGTAGACTTCACACCAAGCAGTCGCCAAGTCAACTAGTCGCCATTCCATAAACTAGAACTAAAGTTCGAACATACTGCCATCTAGGGGAAAATACTACTCTCTGCCGAAGAATGCTAATTCGTGCCTTTGTACAATTTTGACCAATCCTTGAGTGACAGATGATACGTTGTTTATTATTAGAAAATATTGTTCCAACATAAAACTATTATTTACTGATCAACATTTCCACTGAATGTAAATTATTGAGACATTATTTAAATACCATTATATATCAGCAGTGTAATACTTTAAACACCAACTTTACTATTCAAGTTGTTAAATTAAAATCTTTTTAAAAATCAGTAAATATATTAATATAAAATCATTAATCGTGAATAAATTTCTTACAAATAAAGTACATTAATTTCAAAAGAAATAAATCCAGTATTATTTATAGATATTTAAAGTATTTATTATAAATGTAATCTATTGATACAAATTATTAATAACAAAGATGTTATCTGCCATTGTAAAAGAACACCAAAGTAAACAAGCAGCAAGAAAGGAGAGACAAGGTGAAACATTCTTTTGATTAATAAATTGATTAAAATTACAAACAACTACATTGAACATTAATTTAACAGAGCAAAAGAGAAAGGAAGCTGTACAAGCTGCAAACAATTTAACCCAAGCTTTAGTTGATCATTTAAATGTTGGGTAAGTTCAAATATCTCTTAAAAAGAAACAAATACAGTGCAACTGTTAAACAAATGTTTCATCATATAGAGTGGCGCAAGCATATCTCAATCAGAAGAAACTTGATGCAGAAGCAAAACAATTGCAACATAGCGCAACAAATTTTGCCAAACAAACACAATCATGGCTGAATTTAGTGGAAGCTTTTTCCAGTGCTTTAAAAGAAATTGGCGATGCTGAGAATTGGGCACGTAGTATTGAAGGGGATATGAGAACCATAGCAACTGCTTTAGAATATTCTTACAAAGGTAAACAATCAGTACAAACGTTTGTACTAATGTGTACATATAGAAATAATTGATGGATTTGTTTTAGCTACTCAAGAAGCACAAGGGACCAGTACTTCTTAAAAGCTCAAGAATACATACGTTTAAGTGAACCTAAGGATAAGTGTTATTTAATGTCATTATAAAATTTAATGTTGTTTTACGTTTGTATTATTATATGTTAAAATAAATTTTATCATTTTTTCTTTCTATGTTAAGAATTTATATATTTAGCAATTCAAATTTATTACAATAAACAATATTATTTGTAACATATCTAGTGATACATCTATTGAATGATAATATAGTGACAATATCAGGGTAGCCAATTACAAGTTTATATTCAAGAATCATGGCAGCCGGTCCTATTGCGGAACGTAATCAAGGTAAATTTTTATATATATTGCAATACTTTGACTTTTATTTTTTTATTAGAATTTTAATTGCCATTATATAACTAATTTTATATGTTTAAATTATTAATTTGAAGTGATTAAAACTGAAAATATCATATTATACTAGGTTATATGTACATAAACTTTGTTTATAAATTGATAATTCTAGAAGTTTGCATTTGAATATATATCAGTTTTTCATATTTTAAACAAAATATTTTATATTTTTTAGATGCCACAATATATGTGGGTGGTTTGGATGATAAAGTTACAGAATCTCTCATGTGGGAACTTTTTGTCCAATCAGGACCAGTGGGTATGTATTATTCTCCATTATTATATCTTGTACTTTTACAAAAAAGTAATCAAATTTTTTTTCAAATTTTTCCAGTTAATGTTCATATGCCTAAAGATAGGGTGACCCAAATGCATCAAGGCTATGGGTTTGTAGAATTTATGGGAGAAGAAGACGCAGATTATGCTATTAAGATAATGAATATGATAAAATTATATGGAAAACCAATAAGAGTAAACAAAGCAAGTGCTCATCAGAAGAATCTAGATGTTGGAGCTAATATCTTTATTGGAAATCTTGATCCAGAAGTAGATGAGAAACTGTTGTATGACACGTTCAGTGCATTTGGAGTAATTCTTCAAACACCAAAGGTAATACATGCTGATAAAAAGCAACAATTGAAAACGAGAGTTTTCAAAATATATAACAAGTGTCGACATTTCAGATAATGAGAGATCCTGAGACGGGAAATTCCAAGGGTTTTGCATTTATAAACTTTGCATCGTTCGATGCATCTGATGCAAGTATAGAAGCAATGAATGGTCAGTATTTGTGCAACAGGCCAATTTCCGTATCATACGCCTTTAAACGTGACGCGAAAGGAGAAAGACACGGTAGCGCTGCTGAACGATTGCTAGCTGCTCAAAATCCACTGAGTCAAGCAGATAGGCCTCATCAATTATTCGCCGATGCTCCTCCGCTAGCACCACCGCCGATTCCAAATTCGAATACGGCGACTCATCAAACTACTCATCACCCTCAACATCATGTGATGCATCATGGGATGGTTGTACCACCTCCTCCACCTCCGTCAACACCAGGCCCTCCTATGGGTCATCCACCGCCACCACCTGTTCCACCTCCACCAGCAAGTGGTTTTCCTCCAGCAAGCATTCCTCCACCTCCGTTGCCGCCAATGTCAATGGCGACGCATCCTCCTTTACCACCTGGTATGCCACCTCCGCTGCCACCTATGCCTGTTCCAACGTCTCAATCGCAGCAAACGGCACCCAGAATGATGGCGCCGCCACCCCCTCATTGGGGTGTGAGTGGGCCACCTCAAGGTCAATTTCCCCCTCCTCCACCCCCCTCATCTACCGGAGCACCTCCACCTCCACAATTTGGACAATTTCAACCACCACCACCGCGACCTCCTCCAACCTGGAGGCATCCACCTCCTCCTCCTGTGTCTCAAGGTGGACCACCGCCGCCTCCACCTCCGCAATTTCGACCGCCTTTCCCGCCAAGAGGTCCTCCGCCACCTCCGCCGCCTCACGACTCCACTCAATATTAAATTTATCGTCCCTTCACTTTTCAGGCGTTATCCTTGTTCTTTAACTTCACTGTGTTGAAAATATTCGCTCATATTGATGTCTGTATAAATTTGTATTTTATAAGCACAAAGTCGCAATAAATTTCAAATTCCTTTTTCTCAATTTCCAAGCCTTTGGACGGCCAATCATGCATGATCGAAAAATCGCGAGAGGTCGCTCGGAAATTTCTTCGCTTGACTTTTCAACGATTACAAACGCGGTCATTTAATCTATCGATTAGAAGTCGCGTGTGAATAAGGACATGCCAAGCTCTTGTACTATCGATTATTGCTAGCCTGTCCAGTCCAGTCAGTAATAACACCGGGCGGACAAATGAGTGGCAAAACAGTTGTCCTCGGGCATGTCACCGCGTTGAAAGTATTCCACGTCGTTTCGGGTGCGAAACCAGGCGAAAAATAAAGAAAGCGTTGGGACGCGCGAGGAGTCGCATGTTTCTCGCGTATCGTTAATCGGGTAAGTAAGGGGAACAGGTGTCGAGCGTGGTGAATTAAACGGCGTCAGCGGCGCTATGTATTCTGAAAATATCGCGATTTTTTTTAGATCTCTCGTGACTCGATGTACTTTCATCGATCCGTGCGACGTTCCGTTCGTTCGTCACTGTTTTTATGAAATTGAACGACCTCCGATAAATTCGAAATATCGAATATCGACGATCGAAAGGAAGAAATCATGTTCAACTGACATGGCTCGCTTTTATTACGAATGCAACGCGGATCTGAGAAACAGCACGGAGGAGAGCGAAACGATCAAGCCGTACGCGTGCACGCAGGACAAATATTGCTTTTACTGCTGTTGCAACTCGCAGTGTTGTCTGCTGATACAAAGACGGCCTCCACAACACGTTTGGGAAGCCTGGTACTTTTGGCTAGGCGTTGCTTTACTCGCTGTTTTTATCATATCTTCGGTAAGTGATCCCCGATGATCTCTGATCTCGCATCATCGTGTTCACATCACTCGAGATTCGTAGAAAATTCTTATGCAAGCGAAAACAAAGCCCGAGGAATCTATATATCTGTGTTTGCCTGTTCGGTAGCTGTCATCAACGTCGTCCATCGCCTTAGAATCGACGTTACCGCGCTCGCTTGATTCCTCCTCAATCGATCACCAATCACTTCAAGGAACTTTTCGATTCCTTTCTTCTTCTGTTTTCTTTCTTTTTTCGAAATTAGGTGAGCAGCTACATAGTCAGTAATTGCAGACATAATATTCAAGGTGTACCATTAAGACACAGCGCGCACGGCAATCAGCGAAACGATCGCGGCGGCACCCGTCCGGGAAACAACCAGAATGAAATATCGATAAGCATAATCCCAACGTCGGAATTTTTTCCGTCGCACAGGAAGATGTTCGTGATTGCCTCTCAACCAGCCGTAAATCACCTGAGTAAGTAGAAACTGCACGTACACAACGACGGAGTTTCGTCGTTAAAACACGGATCGTCCGTATGTCGAACCGATCGAACTTTCACGCCCCGGCCGAAACGCAATCGCGTACAAATATCTCTCGTTGCACCGCATAATTACGTACGATAAACTAACGACGACGACGTTTCGTACGGAAGAATTACTAAGTTACAGAAGAACGATCCAGGCGACTCGAGACGATTCGAGTAGAGAAACGAGTTTCAGCGTTAAAGAAAGAAAAAAAAGAAAAAATATTTCTCAACGTCGTTCAAAGGGGGGACAATCGCTTTAATCTCAGCGAGATTCGATTAAAGTCCAGGCCGCGACGCGATCGAGGAATAATTCGTGCAATTTCCAGCGATAATAATCACGCGTATGCATTGATTTATATTGCAGCCCCTGTCGTTGCGTGAAGTCGTTCCGTTTTTAACGGGACGATTACGTCGGCGAGAGGAAGCCCGCGCGAAAGAAGCTGGTGGATCATCCTGTGGCATTTTGCACGGTAATACCTCTTAAGAGACGGCGTGTCGCAACGAGAACTTTGATCGGCCGGAACGATGGTCGTCGTCGTGGCCGCGTTATTACGCCGCGCGGCGGACATTCACGATAAACGCGTCTTTTTACTCACGATCCCTTGGGGCATAATAACTGGTAGCGGTTCAAACTCTCCGATCGCCAGCAACATTCTGAACAAATGAGAAACCATCCTGCCGAGGAGTACCGGCTACGTAATGGGTAATTTGACACTGAAGCTACTTAGACCGCGATCTAAATTCCTCCTCCGGTTCTTTGACTTGCCACACGCGACGCATCCTATTAGCATAAAAACTTTCGACCGAGTCTTTTACGATTAAGCGATCCGTCGCTTTTCCAATAGAAACGGTCGCGACGCGATGAAGAAGAAAAAAAAAAAACGATGAACAGCGGAAAAATTGCAGGCACGTCCGAGCTTCATAATAACGCGTGGAAATCGGAAACAATCGGTGGTCCGTTTTTTTTTAGCACGGAGATTGGGAAAAATAATGTATCCAGAGTACAAATCGCAGATCGCTATTGATCAGGTTCGTTGGATCGTTTTAACGCTTCTGAACATCGGTCGAGCATTTGGAAATTCTGTCGTCTCGAGGGTCCGGCCGCGTCCATTTGGCTGAACACGGCGCGGCCCGATCGAAACTCGTTCTCGAGACCTCGAATGGGCGTAACTCCCATTAACAATTAAGAAGACACGCTCGAACCTGCTCGACGTAGCTGACCGGGTACCGAGAGAGAGATCGGAGCCTAATTAAAAAGGACAATCGAAGCGAATGCAACTCGATGGCGACGTGTACTCTCTATCTTCTCGCGCATCTCCCTTAATCTCTCTTGCTTCCTCCTTTCCCCCTTCCTGTACATCTTTCTCTTTATCTCCCCAGTTCCTCGTCTTCCTTTTCCCCGTGACTCGTTCCTGCCGCTCCGCCGCTTCGAGATCGATGCCCGCGATAGCGGTTAATCGCGGGTAATCTTCGCAGAAGAGAGGAATCGCGAAAAACTTCGGCGTTTATCGAGTCCCGCCAGGCGAACACGGAAACATACGCGCGTCTCGCAATGATAAAACCGAGATCTCCACCTCCTCAGGTCACAATTCTCTCGATAAACGATTACCAAGCTATTCGCCAAGGTGCACACTCGCGAGAGACGTTCTCTCGCAAATCTTTTGCAAATCGAAGCTTGTCAACTTCTCCTACAGTTATTCTCAAACGCTAGAAAATGAAAAGTCCGCTTTCGTTGCACTTCCGTTTCGTGAAAGTAAAAGTTTCGTGTTAACACGAGTTGAAGAGGCATAGTGACTTATCGTCAGTTTCCTTAATATGCAGATGCTTTCAATTGATAATTACAACATCCATTTGCGTTAAACAGGAGTGTATAAATTTTATATAGGACCGATGATCGATGTGAGATGCGCGCGCGCGCACATCGAATCACCTTCAGAAAATGAAAGGATTCGATGCAAAGTGTTTCCATTGCCATATTCCATCTGCGTAATGACTGGCTGTGATCGCGTCAATTCGAAGCGGCCATGTGGGAGTTGAACGTTCATTTCTATTCTCACGTTGGGACGTTAATGTGCGGCAGAGTTTTCAATAACGAAGCGTAATAATAACTTGTACCGGCGTATGTAAAGTAAAAAAATATCGAACGCGATAGCTCGCGATCAATTGGTATGCACCGATGCAGGAAAAACAGCTACACGTTTGACATTTTGCACAAGTGTGATCGTAATTAGCTGCGTAGGATGAGAATGGAAACTACTGTCTGATTATCATAAGGAGACAGTGAAAAATCCTATGATTCCGTTTCAATGTGTTTTGCGTTTAAGTAGTATTCATATAGCGTGTGCTATTTTTTACCTATTTTCTTCCACGGAACCCACGCGTTTATAACTTGCGCTTGCCACAAGACGTCCATTAATAACCGGCGTACGCCGAAGATTTACACCTGAGGGACTCCAGTTCTCACGACTAATTCGTTTGATTTAATTAAACTTAATTAGGCCGGTACGTTCGTCGTAGAGGCTGAGGAAAATTTCTTTCTCGAGACTAAGCCTCGGACTCGGGTTATGCAAATCAGAGGGAAAGAAACGAAGAAAAGAAGGAAGGAAAAGTACAAACGATCGAGCGTAAGAAGGAGATCCAGTTCCAACGAGAGACACCGCGTGTACACGGGAGGAATTTAAATTGCCTGCTCCTCACCTCGTTGAAATAGGTCTGCACGAACCATCATCCGCGTACGGTTCGCGATACATCTCAATAAATTATTCGCGTGAAAGAAATCCTTGTGCTCTCTCTCTCTCTCTCTCTCTCTCTCTCTCTCTCTCTCTCTCTTTCTCTCTCTCTGTTTCTCTCTGTAAATCTTTTTACGGCCGGTCACTTGATTCGTACGCGCAATAAGAAGAAGTAGCAGAGCAATCGGGGGGAGCAGGCTGCCGGGACGACCTCGTTCGGCTGTAACGAAGTGTCATTCCGATAACCCAGACCAGCTTTTACTGTCACTCGACGGATGACGATAAAGAAATGTGCAAGCGGCGAGGCTCTGCTTAATGTTGCATGGACAGGAAACCAACCGAGGAATTAAACTCCCGTCTGCTGCCGCCACTCGATGCCAATGACTGCGATCGAGACGATCCACGATCGTGGAACCGTTTCGACGAGCGTTCGGCGATTTTTGTGCGACTTGCCCGAGTTGTCGAGAGGCTATGATAATCCATTGGTTTTGTATTCGATGCTTTTGAGGAAATAAAGACGACTGTGTCGAGTTAAGCGGGCATTTTTATTCCGCTGTTTTCCTCTCTCCTACGTCCTTATCCTTTCACTGGGCGTGAACAGGTTTCCCGTAGCGATGAGTATCAGCGCTGCGGGTTTCGATGATTTTAATTTCATTTAATTTATACGGGGATAAAAATAGATTAATACAGGAGATGCAGAACGAAAAGCAGGAGCGAGATAAATAAGAGTTGACACTGGTGGAATGATATTATAGGAGAGTGAGTGATTTTATAAGGAAAAACCTACGAAATGAATCTAATCTTTGTTACACGACACGACATTTTCAATGTATGTAGTAAAATGCATCGGCACGCGCTATCGATCGTGCGACGTAATTTCGTTGCATCGAAGAAAGTCTGCACGTTATTTGTATAAATCAATAGGACAATAAATCGGCCTAATTTAGGTGATCTTTCGAGTCGCTGGGATTCTTTCAAAGCGAGAACATTCTCCGAACTCCTTTAGCTGTACAAACAAAACGACGAAAAATTGTCCGATGAAGTATATACATTGTACTACAACGAAAGACTGTGTATAAGTTTTAAATATCACTACGGTCGTTAAAAATTGCGATCAACAGCGATTGAACTCCAATTGTGATTCGAGCATCTGGAAACCGTTTGTGAAACACGTCTCGCGGCTGCGTAAACGCGTACACGAATCTGCGATGCTGTTCCAATAAATCGGCTTTAAAAAGGCCGGGACCGAGCGCGAGGACCGAGAAAAAGACCAGCAAAATTCGGTGTAAGTGCGAATAAATTTCAAACGCGATGAGGGCTAGCAGAAACGCGATACACCGTCAAAGAAATCGTTAATTATCACGTTTGTATTTCGATCTCCTTTCTTATTTCGATCGCCGGACCGCGGATTTTTATGCATTCATCCCGAGGTTGAAGATCCAAGTTTAAGATCGAACGATCGCATCCGCAAATATGTAATTCTGACAATAGATAGAATTCCATTTCTCATTACAGTTGCTAGTTGCACAAACTCCTATTTTGCAAACTCTCTTATTCTTTGTGTTCTACCAAAAAAAAAAAAAAGAAAGAAAAAACGAGCAAACACTGGTTGATACGATATCTGAAAGGTATTTGACAAGGCGAACGACGTGACTGTGTTTCGCGAAACTCAATTCTCGCGCCGCGAAGGAAAGAAGGCAGCGAGAAAGAAATTTCGAAGAAGCTGATTCTGTGTCGTCTTGACGACAAAGCTGCACGGGCGGAGTAGCGGCATCGATGACGGAATTAAAATAGATATAAAAACGAAATTCGTGAGGTGGCACGACCTCGCGAAGGAGGAAGGAACGGGAAGAGAGACAAAGAGAGGTGGAAATATACAACAGAGTGAAGCGAAAGAAAGAGAAAGAGAGAAAGAGAGAGAGAAAGAAAGATACGATTCCGTATTCCAGTGGGAGGTACTAAAATTAGAGGAGCCCACGCGGGTAACAGTTGCTTCTTCGGGCTTCCTTCGGACATTTTCAAATAGTCCTTTACGCCGATAACACAACGTGTTTTCGCGTCGTCTCGCTGTCAGTCGCGACTCGGCGCCGTGATTCTGCGTTCGATTCGATTGGCTTACGAGTGACTTCCTCGGGAGACACGGCTTGCCTCCTTGGAACCCATTCAACGTCCGAGTGACTCCGAGATATTTCAACTGGCAGACGCGAAACTTTGAATAATCATCCCTTATTCTCTTTTTTTTTTTTTTCTTTATCAACGACGATTGCCGTAATCGATGATCCTCGTCGAGCGACAAGAAATGAGAATCAAGGGTGGTCGACTACCTCGCCGCTCTTTCTATCGACTTCCTTCGACTAACTTCACGCGTTAATAAGTGGAAATCGAAATTCTTTTTTAATGCCCGCGTGTCCTTATCCTCGCGTCGTCGTCCGAATTTAGTAGAGGCTACCCTATCGAGACGACAATGTATATCCCTGTCTCCTGCATGCGTCTCGAGTGGCTCTCGCGCAGATAGCCGAGAGTGCACCCATTTCACCGTCGACTCCCTTATCAATGAATCGTCGCCGCGTCCCAGTGGCTCTCGTCGAACGATCATTTTCATTATCGTGACTTTCGTGATTCGCGGAGTGACTCGATTCCGCCGAGGCATGTTTATCAACCGGTCGGGTATCGGGCCGCCAATCTGCGTATGCTTTATCCTGTTATTCCTGATCTTTCTGTCGATCAGCGTTCAGCGAATCGAAGGTAAGTCACTCGGATTCGATCCGACGCGTCGTGAACGTGGTGTTACGCGTCGCGATCGACTCTTTACGCCGCGTAACACCACGCCAATTGCATGACATATTCGTACATGCACGTGCACGTACATGTATACATACATATATACGATCGTGCGGCCCATCAACGCCGTTGTATCCGTAATGAGTCGTGGAAAAGGGACAGAAATACACGAGACGAGCAGATTTATGGGGCGGGTACGTGTCACGGCAACTCGTTCGCGTCAAATGCCAAGATATTTGTCGATATTCGCAGGTAGGAGATGCGTGTGCACGAGCAAGGCCTGCAAGGAAGCCGGCGTGGACACATGCAGAACGAAATTTTACTGTTACACTGAGTTGATCTTGACTGGGGACCAAGAATTCCGTGCGAACGCTACGACGAGAGGGTGCACGAAGTTTGTATTTGAATTATCAACAGAAATATATCTAAACTGAGAAACACAATATTGAAGTCGAACGATGTTTGGAGCAAAGATTTCGAGAACCAGTAGACTGCGGATTTCTATGGGTTAGATTTGGCCAAAAAGCAACTGCGTTTCTTCTTTCTGTGTGTGCAAGTGAAAGGCGAATTTTTCCCGAGAAACAAAAACTTTATTGATATGTCGACCATTTTATTTCCCTTTTGCCATCTTTCAGATTACGCGTTCTTTCTCGACGAAAAAGAAACGAATTTCAAGACTGATTTGATATCCTCGTCGATGGCGAAATTTAGCAAAACCAATTCTGACACTGTCGTAATTTGAAGGCTTCTTCATCATACGTATTAAGTAATTTTTTATTTGTTAGGTTGCCTAGGTTTTCGGAAGTGGTTCACAAGCAAAATATGACTCTCAGAAATGTTCTTTTTCCATTTTGAAATTGACGCCAGACGAACAATTGCCAACGAGGTCGTGCATTTTCTTTTTCTAAAACGAGCTTGAACAATCGGGTATTAGATTACACAATGAATTTACGGTTTAAACTAAAGTCACATTTTACAAGATGTACATGTATTAGAAAGAAAGGCAATTATTTTTTGGCCAACCCAATAGTTTAACGGTGAAGAAAAATTTAGCCCTTAAGAAATACATAAATTTGCACAAACATCCGCAATCCACTGACTGCAGTAGAGCTCCGTTTACACGAACTTGTCGGCGAACAAAATTAGAATTCGTCCGTTTTTTCCACAGTGTATGATTCTCCGTTCGCATAACGATATCTCACGCTCAGAGACAAGTGGATTCAATCGAGAGAGGAGTTCATTTAATTGGACGTTACCTAAACCCCGTCGTCCAAATAAACGGACAGCTCCGCTGTCTTCTTATTTGTGAAAGTAACATTATACATCGCGGGCGGTATTTGCGTTTTAGACAAGTTTTAACCGTTGCGACAGTGGTTTAACCTCCGGTTGAAGAAGCAACAAGCCCGACCTCTAACTTTTCCCTCTTATTCGACAATAAATTCCAACGGTACGAAGCCCGATCGACTGGAAGACGATTTCATTCGCTGAATCTTACGACTGACGTACCGCTATAAATTCACCGCGGCTCTATGACAAGCCAGATAACCTTGACGAGATAATCGAACGCCGGGAAGATTTCACGAAATTCTTCTTCTCTCTATTCCGCTCTTCTTCCCATCCGCGGCGAGACGAAGACGGGATTTCGAAAGCGCCGCGATCGCTAACCAGTTTTTATTGCTACCAATTAAATCTTCGAACGGTTATCGGCGAGTAGCGCACAGCGTGGCATCAATTACCAGATAAACGCGAGGCGGCAAGGGAAAAGTGAAAGAATAACGAATTTTTATGGAAAGATAACGCGGCTCGCAAACAACGAGCAGTAACTGACCCGTTTTTACCAGCGAATTCCTTCGTCGCGGTGTGTTCGCGGATGATCGATCACGACGAGGATCATGTCGTTAACGAGCGACGATAAAACACGTACGGCGCGAGCGGCGTGTCGAAATCTCGCGGCGTAAATCGCGCGAAATGGTTATTTAAATCCCGACTATCATCGGGCCGGGGTCAGGGAACTTTATCGAGCCGCGAAGCCCGTTTTATCGGAATACGTTCTACGTTGCTGTTGCTCAGGGGTGCCACGCCATTGTTGTGCGAGACAAAGTCCTGGGTCACGAGGTCGACCGTGGACCGATCGTCGGCCGCCTGGATCCGTATGCCCTGGCCCAGATTGAAGTGTTGCGACAGCCACGACTACTGTAATGCCGATCGCCATGCAAACGCGTCCACGTGGATTGGCGACAACGAGAGGCCCGATCCTGAGGGACACGTTCTAAACTACACCGGTAAACAGTGTGCTTTGCTTCTCTCGTAATATGTGTATGCAGTGTTTGAACAATTGTAGAAAGTTGCTTTTGATGAATTGATATTGCAACGTAATTTTGGAATTTTGTTGGCAAGATTTGGCGCGAAAATTGATTGTAGATGTCGTGTTTAAACTGCCCCCCCCCCCTGAATATTATCGGATACTAATGATAAAAATTGCAAGAACTTGTTCAACTTTACACTGAAACTTAAACTTCCATTTCTCCTTTTCAGAATGAAAAGAAATGAAACATTCGTCAAAAAGTTTAAAACATTCCTCTCCAATTATAAAATTGAATTAAAATGAAAAAAAGAAGAAAAATCGTATTCTTTTAGTCTTCAATTAACGTAGCTAATGAGATCGAGACGATTCACAGAAGAAGAAGAGCCAAAGTTGCCCAGTTAACGAAAAATAATTCGAAGAAAAATAAGCTTCGACCGATCGGCGCCAATTCGACGATGCTGGTTATTTGCAGTAACTTTCAGCCCCAGTTTAGTCACGATCTAACCCAGTTTATTTACGCCAGTCTGCCAGATAGATATCAGTTTGACCAAAGGGAGATTTTTCGTAGCTTGTGATTTGCCCAACGTCAAAACATTCGAGGCGCCGCGCCGCTTGTTCGAGAAATGGACACTCTGATAAGTGTTGCTGTTATGTGCGAAGGTTCCTTCAATGGGACGTCGCCGAGCCGAGACACAATGGGATCGATTCAACCGGATCCAGGTCCGATTGCCGGAGGTCGAGAATCGCCGGATCAATTCCCCGAGAATCGTGTGAAGCCGCTGCACGTCGCCGCGCTAATCCTGGCGATCGCTGCACTGATATCGGTCCTAGCGGCCTGCTACGTTATTACAAGGTCTGAAAATTTTTTATCATTTCGCTCCTACCGAGAATCACGCGAAAAGAGAGAGAGAGAGAGAGAGAGAGAGAGGTGTCGAATCTCACGTAACGAAAATTTTTATCATCTCCGAAACGTGTATCGATAAAACTCGCATTTTACGACGCCAAGTATGTGCGTACGTACGTCGAACGCACGATACTGCGAGTGAATGGTTGACGCGCTGGCCAGAAATATTCATCAGCAATTTTTTATTCGAACGAGCAATCCTTCTGCAACGTCTTGCCGCAATATTGCGTAGAGAATCGGAGAACGAATCGAGATGATCGGCAATTCCAAAACAGGGATGCTCTTTGAGATTCGAGAAACAGAAATTTGTAATTTGTCTGCACGTACGTGCATTTTATCCGATACGAAAAGTGCAACATAGTCAACCAGTTGTAAATATAAAAGTTATGGGACTAAGTCTTAAAATGTTGAAACTTTTAAACCATTGCGCTGGCAACTGGTTCGCGGACCATAACGAGTGACCGAACCGTATACAATAATTCGTCGCTTTCTTTTTCTTTCGAACTCGTCGGTGTATGATATATCACTGGATAGAAATTATTGGGAAGTAATAAACTCATCATCCGTTTTGCCTGGGTTATATTTAAATAGACTTAAAACTGAGAAACTGTTGCAATTTGGGACGAAAAAATTCTCAACGTGCGTGGCATGTCATTCCAACGCAAGAGGTTAACTGAATTTTATTAACTAAAATTTCTCTGTCACGATACAATGATCTATTTGAGGATAAATCTATAAATGAAAAAGCTAAACAATCCGAATTATCCTGATTAACAGCCTACGAGACAAAAGACCATCCTCGTTAGAACACGATACGATACGATCGATCGATTGTGTCGTTGGCTACGATCGGGATTTTCTCGAATCGATTTGTTCATCGCCTAGTATCGACATCGAGGCGAAACAAGTCGCTAGTTTATCCGATCGATGACGTACGAGAACTGATTTCTCGTACGTATTAATATCGATGGCGATATTTCAAGTCCAAACTGTCCCGACTAAGCCGATAATCTCGGTTAACGGACGCGGCGCGCCGATTTCCGACGCGTGGCTGCTCAATTGACCGCACTCATCGACGACCGTACTCATCGGGAGACAGTTGCAGCTCGTAGAGTCGTGTGGAACGGGCGATTGTTAACGGGTCGCCGAGTTAATATTAGCACAAGGTTTTTCATCGCGCTGCGCGAACTTCCAACCGAGCAGGACATTTCGAAGAGCGCGTTCGTACGGAAAGCGGTGGGCGCGAGCCAATGAGAAACGGCGACCGTGGTCGATAGAGGTAGAGTGAGCTAGCCTTCGCCTAGCAAGCTCGTTCCTTCGTTTCGAATCGAAGGATTTCCCTGGCACGCCTAGAAACGAATCGAAACTTCTGCTTTGATCGCGAATTTGAAACGGCGGCGCGCCGCGCTCGGATCGATTCGCTGGAAGAGAGACCCTGGCAGAGGCTAGTATGCCAGCGGCCAATGCCAAGTAATTACAATTACAAACTTACATGTGTGTGTGTGTGTATATATATATATATATATATATATATATATATATATATATATATATATATATATATATATATATGTATATTAGGACTACCCATAATTTTCTTCAAATTTAATAAACATTGTCACCGTGACGATAATTTTACCTTATAAATAACCTACATATATTTTAAATACATTAACATTTAGCGTGCTTATCGTTAAACTATATTATAGATTAAAACTGTATTATACCCTTAAATAAAATAAAATTTTCTACAGTATCAAAAAAAGACATTAGAACCATAAGAGACCCAACATTCGAGAACGTTTGTAATTTCAGTTTTTCAGTCGTATCCACTGTATTTCACGCTGCGAGATCTCGTTCTACATCGATAGCAACGTTGTGTACTATCCCTCGGGATGTTTGCGTGTTTCTGATGCCTTCACCCGCTTGACCGTAATACCAATTTCCTTTGGTGTTTACTCAGTATGTTTACTCTGTACTCTCATTACCACGTGTGTATCCACGCACGTTTATTGATTTTCGGGATCAACTAATAGCGCATACATATATGCACCTACGTATATTATTTCATTTCTTCTTCTGGCAATACCGCGATCGTAAATTCGTTATCTCGCAGAATAAGGAATTAAATGAAAGACAACTGGAAACGCCAAGTTTGCAAAATCATCGTTAAACTTATGTATGTCGACTCATCGACGTTTCGTCGAGTATTCACGAGCGAATGCACGATCGAAATGAGAGAGCTGACGCTAGCTGGGCTAGCCTCATTGTTAGCACAATAAGAACGCGTATTCTTCTTGGCGAGGCGTAACCTTGGTCGTGCGGAGAACGGCCGAATCAGCTGTTTCATTTGTGCAAGGCCTCCCGCGATACACAATGGACTGTCACGTGACCGAGCGAGCGTTTATTAACCGAGGCGAGCAAAGAAAATACCCGACGAAAGAAAGGGAAACTGGATGGAATTTATTACGGTTTTGGTTATTAATTAACACCCTCTCACCCGCGCCCTCCAACAACACGCGAGGCGTGTCTCTCAAATGTAACGTTTGGAACACGTGCTGATGATTGAAAGTGTTTCCTCGAAGCCACACTACTTCTACCAGTGTATTACGTATGCATGTATGTGTATATATATATACGGTGATTTTACATATTTAATTTTGACTTCGTTCGTTTACTTCCCCCCTGTACTAGACTTTTTGTTATGTAAATGTAATTTGATGAGCTAATTTGTTATAAAATTGTGTGCTGGAGGAAACAAAAATAAACATATACGCGAGAGGAAAGAGACATGTGTGTGTAAAGTGTAGTATGCAAAATATTACTCACAACTGTTTGACTCAAAGACGTTTGACTCAGAGCGGGGATCCAGCAAATCGTTTCTTTCGACGATAATCAGACGATTTGTTTTCAATAATTCACCTCGAAATATGCAAATCGATATCACGTAAGAAAGAAACTCGCGTAGTACTCGCTAGTGAGTAGGTGTACGATTGATCATTAAACAGGAGGTATTTCTGTGTAATATCTTACTCGTTTTTATCTCGAATGTTAATGAGATTTCTTGCCAAGAGTTCTTACTTATTACGCGTCTGTTATTTCTCTCACCGAGGATATTAATTTAATGGCAAATAATTTATAATATATTAAAGAATATAGTTTTCAGAAGAATAATTTACTTGGAAATATTTTCACTGTAACATCGTGTTTTTCCTTAAACATTTTTTTACAACTGTGATTTATATTTCTTCTTTTCTCTTCCTTTGCCTTGTCCCTCGAGTACACGTCTATTCTTCCTACGTATAATTTTTAACACTGTTACGTAGCATCTTTATATTTAGCTAATATACTTTTTGCTAATACTTTAAAAAGAACTGAATCTTGTTTCTCTTGGTTTAATTATCCGTTTAATTATCCGTTCGCGAAGCATGATTTCGCACAATTAGACAATTAAACAAACAAAGTTGTCGATAAAACTCTCATTTCACGATAATTGTACGATACAATTTAAAAGTATAATCCATCATTATACTTTTCAAACTAATTCTTAGTAATTTAAATTGTGCAAGCAAATATTTTCCAAGATTAGTCTATCGCTCGTTTATGGTTTTGCCTTTACATTCTAAACTACATTCTAAAACTATATTTCAAAATTGAATTTTGAACATGAGAAAAATAAGCTTGAACTTGACCAATCGAAACGAGCGATGCCTTATAATTTTCTTAGCAGTCAGACGCGCTAAAATTGCTTGTTTAACAATGTGATAGAGAGAGAGAGAGAGAGAGAGAGAGAGAGAGAGAGAGAGAGAGAGAGAGAGAGAGAGAGAGAGAGAGAGAGAATAAAATCAATCCCGCTGGTCGACTAGTTGTTCGCCAAATCCGTGAACACGCTGTAAAGTTTCATCACGCTTGGACTCATTCGTTATTCGTAGCACGTGACTCGATATTACAGAGCGTCCAAGCGGGAGAAATAAAAAACGCGGGTCATCGGTGAGCCGAGTTACTCGACAGTTAGTCAGATCTAAAACTATCATTATGCAAAGATGCCGATCTCGAATCGTCGCGAATCGGGATAGCTCAGGGATAGGAGAATCAAATATTTGAGCACAGGGAGAACCTTGCGAAGCGAAGGTTGCTGTGACATCAATTCCAAAGCTTGTCCAAAAATTGTTTCGCTCGAGAGTTCGCTGAGACTGCGTCGTTCGTCAGCCAGGAATCCAACTCTTGCACCTGCCCTCGATCGTCGCGGGTACAAAGCGAGCAACAAAAGGCTCCAGGAAGAGGAGAAGCAGCCCGTTCACCGTTTGTTCCGCCGGTGGCAGACAGCAGCGTACGGTGACCTCCGTAGCATCAGTCGTACCAGCAGGCTACGCGAGAAGGCAACGGGCAAACGAAAAGAGCAGAAGATGGAGGAGGAGGAGGAGGAGAAGAAGAAAAAGGAGAGGAAGAAGAAACGACAAACGAGGAAAAAGAGGAGGAAAGATACGTACTTGCGTGACGTAGCTTTCGCAAGCCATCACGCATATGTTACCCTCCGCGAGGGGCCCTGTACGCGTTCACAATACGATCCGCGGGGTCATTCCACCTCTTCAGCTTCTTCGTATTCGTCGATGTCTCTTCCTTGGACTTCAACCTGGCTGTTGAACTTTGTTCCGCCGTTTGTGGCGCACGTAGGTGTCCACTTTCTATGGGCGACACTAACCACGAGAGAGAGAGAGAGAGAGAGAGAAGATTGTCTTCTGATCCTCCCGTCAGGGTCGCGAGCGTGCGACGGAAGGCCGTAGGTGTCGTGAATGCTGGGCGTGACTCGCGTTTCATTCCGGATCTGCTCCGGATAAAGATCGACCGATATCGATACCGAGATGCTACACATTTCGATGGAAGATGTAGCCTGCCTCTCTTGAATAATTATTCAAGCGAAAGAGAGACGCAAGACGAGAAAGCATATCGTTGAGACTAGGTAAAATCGAATCGAGCTATCTCGTCTGGACTGAATAGTAACGATTAAAGTTCTTTGTGAATCAGTGTTGCGTTCGAAAAATACATTACAGTTACGAAAAAAAAAAACGTATAGTTATCGTCTATTCCCTCGAGTCATTTCAAAAGAATAGATTTTTCAAAGATTTATTACAAAGGCAGACTTCATCGTTGAGAGAAATCCAACCAAATCACGAAACGAATATCTTTTGTTGCGATAGAAACAGAATCAACGAGAACTGTCGTTTTAACAAAATCGCGATAGACCTCGTAAAATCTCGAATTAAAATTCCACGAAACAGGTACGGTTGCGTAATCACCTTATCGTAGTCAAAAGTAAACTTCCGGCGCAGTTGTCGGAGCAAGTTTGTCAATTAACGCGTTCAATGACTATACCCACTGACGTAACCGCATTTACACGCGACGAATCTCTAGATCTCTAAACTTTGGAGTTTCAAAATCTCTGAACCTCTGAATCTCTGATTTTCTACGCCCTGAACCTTCCCAATCCCGATCGATTTTGTCATCTCTTGCGCTGATTACACTGCAAAGGACATCCGACGGGTTCTTTTCTGGTGTCTCGTCGTTGCTCGCTACTGAAAACGAACGTGACACTATGGAATATTGCACGAGCCACCGGTGCAAAAGCATTTAATTTCGCGCCAAGATAAAACCGATTAGATATGCATCTAAACAGGTTAATAAACCACCTACACACACCGGTTGGAAACGTTTCCACGCGCAATTGCAAGTTGCACCTGAAGGCTTTACACGTCCTGACACTGCCCCCCCCCCTCCCCCCTCTCTCTCTCTTTCTCTCTGTCTGTCT